TGGCTGGATACATCAAGTTAAAGACCTTTCAATATAAGACTCTTTCAGGAAAGATAAACAAATTTAACCTCATAAACCTTTCCCAATCCTGAAAAACCAGCCCGTGAGAATGAGGCACCAGAGACCACTTAACCACACATGAGAAACACATTCCTCCTGCTGTTTGCAAGCCCGGCTTCATTTATCTGAATGTCAGACCGACCGCCTGAAGCCAAGAGGTGTGTGAGAGCAGGCACGAGCGACCACTTTGCTTCCTTTACTTTGGCCTCTACCGTGTCTGTGAAAACAGAGGGATGCAGCAAGAGTCGTTAAGGCAGTTGTCCTTGGAGAACATCTGATTCTTTTGCCCCTCTTCTGCTTCCTTCCATTTCCTGTGTCCTCATGCTTTTTTTACTTACATATGCACATACAGAATATATATACATACATATGCGTGGGTGTGTGTGTGTGTATGTGTATATATATATGTGTGTGTGTGTATATATATATCTATATATGTGTATACACACACACATCCTCTCTTGCCCCACTGCTACTTCCACCTGCTTTCTGGTTCTCTCTCCAGGCTCCCCCATCTTCCTCTCTGTATTTACACCCCTCCCCTGCCTCCTTTTCCTCCCAAAACACACACACACAAGCACTCCCAGCTTTACATTAATTTCAGTCTACGCAGAAAACACCAAATTATGTGATTGTAAAGAGCTATGGGAGAAAAGGACCCACAAGCAGAGTGTGCCCCTCGTCAAGCTGGCCAACAGCAACTCCGGCTGCCGCTGAAAATGTGTTGAGAAGCTGGACTGTGACATTCGCCTGCAATTGAACCCCTCTGCTTGTCTCTGCTGCTCTCTGCTCGCCGAGCCGGGAGAAGAAAGAGAAGAAAGAAAAGTATAGGGAGGAGAGAATGCAAGTGACAGAAAGAAGGATTGAATGAAGGAGTGAAAAGAAAGAAAGATATCCCTGCGCCGCTTGGTCCTTTATCAGCCCTGTCATCTGGTGCAGGGCCCTGTCCGCATTGTCTCACCTTGGACAAAACAAAAAGGCGTTTTTGTGCAGATTCCTTTAGAGCTGCCAGAGCCCGCACCTTAGGGGGTCGCTGAAGGCTGAATGTGCAGCTGACAGCCCCGCGCAGCCCGATGTGATATCAATAAACTCCGACACGTCAACTCTTCAGCACAGCTCATGTGGAAGGTACGGCTTGAATATTAAAACCTCCAGCGGCCGGGAAATAAGCTTGGGGTGGAGAGGGGGGAGGAGGTGGCTCAGAGCAAGACAAGGTCGAGGAGTGAGGAGGCTGCGCTAGCACAAGCAAGGGGCAAGGCAGCCAGAAAAGGGACACCATTACAGATCTGCTACCTGCTGTCCCAGTGACTGTTCAGGGTCTTTTTGCTTTTATTCTTGACCACCAGCAAGGAGAAGAAGCATGATGGTTTCCAACAGGTCCTGGAACAGGGATTCTCTTTGAGAGCCAAACTGGACAGGAGCCCAACAGCCAAACCAGAACCTGTGCTCACCTGTTCGATACTACACCCTACCTCCTGCTTGGTGGATGTTTGCTTCAGGGCAGGCATAGCGCAGGCACAAGTGAGCAAACTACACCACCTCTTCACACGCTGCTGTTTCTTAGGTGATGGTGCTCAAAGACATCCACAGTGACAGAGCCTCAGTGGTGCTGCCAGCAAAACTGCCAGAGCAGAGTGACAAGGCAGGTGACAGAAGCGCCTCTTTTGCTGATAGGACACTGAAATCCAGTAGTAATTTTTTTGCTACCTCTGACACTGTAACAAGATGCTTTCCCAGAGGAGCAGGCACAGCATCACGATGGATGTACTGGTGATCATTCATGCCTGTTAGCACTGACTACAAAATGTTTTCCCTGCTGATGCTTTCCATCGCTAGGTTCCAGAGTGAACGTGCCCAGCTGAAATAAAAGAGGCAGCTCACTCCAAGAGAACCGAAGTGTGTTAAGCTCAGAGCCATGCTAGGCTCTCTGAAGACAACATAATGTCCACAGCCTCCATTTCCACTCAGATCACAGCTCTGCAGTTTTATTTTTGCGGTAAAGGTTAGAATATATTTTGCCCAAGTTAAATACTTGGAGTCTCAGATGCAAATTCCTCTAAAGGGGTGAGGGGAAGGCCAATCCCACCACCAGAGCGGAGCTGTGCTAATCATGTCCTTTAGCCCTGATGAAGGCAGGACAACTGTCACACAAGGCCAAGATCAAGACAGAAGTAAGTTTCAAAGTCTCCAACCCTGTAGAAGAGCTTTTTCAGGAGGTTGATAGCTATAGATGCATGATATTCTGTGGGCTTTATCTGCCAAGTATTTCTCAGGATACATGACATTCTTTAAGTATTTTAAAATGTAACAAGGGATCTTCCAGGAGCTTGTGATGATCTCTCTCCCTCTTGGATTGTGATCCGATGAGGCAACTGTGCCCTGACAGACCCACAGCATAAGCTGAAACCTGTCACAACTACTTCTTACTTCAGAATTCAAGAAGTAAAGTCAAAAACATTTCCCACCATCATTAAACCAGAAGGATGTGTGCAGCAGAGCTCTGCTCTGACCAGATGGAGAGACTGACTGCGTGCAGAATAATGTTCTAGCCTGCCAGTCACAGATGGAACAGGCATTTCTGCTACTAGATCTATTTTGGTTAAAACTGTGAAGATCTTGTGTTCTCCAGCTTGACAGTCAAATCCCCCAAATGCAGGGAGGTGAGAGTGTTTCAGGATGTTCTTAAATAATTTCTGTTTGACTGGACTGTTTGGTTTTTGGTTGGTTCTTTGGGTTTTTTTAAAATAAAGAATCAAAATATTTTAATCTAAGGTAGTAGAAACATTTCAGCTGACCTGAAATTAAAAACCTTGCTTTGTTTTACAAATTATTTAGTTAGAATATTTTTTTTTCCATTAGGAAGTAGCTTCATTTCAATATAAAGTTATGATTTGAGATGATATTTATTTTTTTATTCCCCTCTTGCATGTGGCCAACAGTCCTGGGATCTTTGCAGAAGCCTCTTGTCTTGTTTTAGTTCCATTTTCACCATGTGCCCTTTGCCAGTCACAGAAATCAAAAGAGTTGGTACTGTGTTCTTTAGAGACATGATGTCTCTAACATCAAACTGTGGGTTTCCCTGTGACTACTATGGCCTGGCTCTTTGGGACCTGCACACACAGATGTAGTCTTCTGTGGCATGAGTTGATTTCTGGCCCTCAGACCAGCAAGGGGTCTTGTGAAATATATGAGATATCTCATATATATTCATATATCTTTCATATATGTGAAAAATATCTCCCGAGCTACTTGTAAGACTGGCACTAGCAGCTAATAAAAACAGATTCTGAGCAAAATCAGTAAATAAAATAGGTACTAACAACTCTCACTCAAAAAAAAGTCAGAAATCCAAAGATACCAACTTGAAAAATGGAGCAATAAAGTGTTACAAGAAGGAAATTCTCACCCTCAGTTTAAATGGACAGAGCAAGTGCACAAAGTGTCACAAGGAAAATATTTTTCCAGCTACTGATGAGCCCACATGAGAATCACTCACCCTTCGAGGGGCCCGGTAACATGTAAGTTAGTTCCACGCCACGTACAGTTTTGAAAGCTGAGCACTGACCATGCAAAAGCCGAACCCCTTTCATCCACCCCTTCTTCCCAACCAAATTTTACGGACCAGAGAAAATTAGCTGGAATGTTTAATGAACCTTTTGATATTCATACTTCTTCAGCTGGTAAATAATTTCATTCTGCACGCTGAGGACATTCAGGGTGCAAGCATGGAGATTTTCCTCTTGGGATAAGGTAAGTTGGCTTAGCTAAATTAAGAAATTACCTCCCCCTGAAATTTGAAACACTTCAAAAATGCAGTTGTCTGAATTGTCCAGATTCTCTGTGTTTCAGAGTGTGAAACAGTATTAACTGTTATTTGTATTTGTGTCATAACTAAGGTTAGGTGGGGGGTTTGCACTGTACCAAAGCAAACATGGACAAATGATGGCAGCAGGACAAGGCGAGGGAACTAGATGGTGGAAATTCATTTTAACACATCTGAGTCAATGCTGGGAATAAAACTGGGATGTCCTGACTCCCAGGTGCCTGCTGGGTTCACTGGCTGATCCTTTTTAGAATATAATGCCAAAAAAAATGTAATGACTTGGTCTGATTCCTTGCACCTTGCCAGATGTGCTGCATAACTCCTACAACAAGTCTCAAACTCCTGGTTAGGTGAAAAACATACCTTTTTGCATCACTTGACTGAATATCACCTGCAGCTCTAACACATTATTCAAGTAATTGATTAACCTGCCCTTCTTACTTCAACACTTTCTTCCATGCCCAAAGATTCCCATTTCATGCTTTAAAAATCCCAGAGAGAACAAGCTCTTGGGTTGCATGAGTTTGCTGGACAACCCGGAGCTGTTAGCAGCAGTAACAAGGCGGACTCCTCTACTAACCAGCAAGAAGAGCAGGAGCTGTTAGCAGCAGTAACAAGGCAGACTCCTCTACTAACCAGCAAGAAGAGCATTCAGATGCCATCGAGCAAATCCAACAGGTCAGCAAAGGTTTGAAATCAAAGGTGCCCTTTGAAAACTAGAGCGTTAGTTTGTTTTAATGGATATTTTCTAAACTGCAGAACAAACAAGCCAACATCAGAACAATTTTCTCCATAATAAAAAATAAACTATGCAGGGGGACAGTCCGAAGAGTAAGCAACAGACCTAGACTTGAAGCCTCAGCAAAACACAAGCCAAAGAGCTTGACCATACTCCCTGGATATTAATTTTAACCCCGGGTGTGCAGTGGTTTCGATGGAGAGAAACCCCACCGGGATATTCAGGCATTGGGCTCCAATGGGAGCTGAGCCCCGTTCTGGGAATGGCAGGGCTGCCCCGGGTCACGTAGCCACCGTTCCACTCCCCACTGCGAGGGGCCCCAGCCCTGGATATTTGCAACCGGCTTTAGCGTCACAGTGGGAGCTGGAGAGGACTTACCAGCCCTTTGTGATGGATACGCTTTTCGGTCCAATGCTGCCAGCGCTATCGCTATTAGAAATGCCACCAGAATACAGGAGAGATTTTCCACTCCCTTCTCATCCATTATCTTATCTGTCTGTATTGTCCCCTGTTTGGTATTGGGCTCGGGGACAGCTGACACACGCAGAGACAACTCAAGAAGTTCCAGCAAGCCTTGAACCTCGTTGCGCAGGCCACAAGCGGGTCTTTTAAAGGCACGCTTTGCACACTGTGTCTCTGCGATCTGCGCGAGATGATGATATTGCTGGGAAAAACTTCCCAAGTGCAGCACATGCCCCGCACCTACTTAGTATTAGGTGGAGGCAGCCATCTCAAACCAGTGGAGATTGAGTACTCTCTTTGTACCTACAAACAATCTTCCCCTCGCATTGATTAGTAAAGATTTTGCCTGGCTCCGTGGGAGCTTTGTTGCAGTAGGTGCTGTCCAGAGCCATGAAATCATATGGTAGTACCTGCTCCACAAAGGAATACCAGTAAAATCCAGCACATACAGATTTCAGCAGCTGGGTCAAAAATGTTTACACTCAGTTTCAGTTAAGTTCATAACAACCATCCACAGCCAGTCGTAGAAAACCCGTAGGAACAGCACAGATTTCTCTTTACTAGAAGCACAATCTAACATTTATATTGCTTTACATTCTTGCAGATTTTCACTTGGATCAATTTCATTGCCAGAGGACAGAAGAGTTTCTCTTTCAAAACACACAGTTTCCATCAAAAACATTTACAAACTTTGAGGCGCACCTTTTTTTATATAAAAAGTAGCAGTATTTGGAAAAATAAGAATTTTTAGGTACATAAATAATGATATCTAGATTTAACATATTTTCTTAGTCCATAGCAATGCTACATTAAAATAATTCCTTATAATTTGTTATCAGTTTTCACAAAACCTAACTTGCTTCTTTTAGATTTTAATCCATCCTAAACACTTGGACTTCAAAGTTTTTGTTGATGGTACTCAAGATATTTCCCAAACCTGCACAATGTCACCCTCTGCTGACGCATTCAAATAGAAGTTTTTATAACAAAAGAGATAAACGGTCAATTTAATCCAGTATCCTGCCCCTGACAGCTCCCAACACTGGATACTTCCCAATGGAGACACAGGCTCCTCTAATTATCTCCTGCACCATGACTTCTGTTGAGTAAAGGGTAATCGTCCCAGCACCAATTAATTCATGGCTGACTTGTGCAAAAACCTGGATTGCTTTTTTCATTAAAAATAGTTACTCAGCACATAGGATCAAACTGGGGCTGGACTCAAAAGTTCAGTTGCTATCTAGGACAACTTGAGCCTGAAAACCTGGGCTGGAAAAAGTCTCCCAAGAACCACGGAGAAATCAATATTTGAAAGATATTTACATAAATGAAGAGGGGGGGGAAAAATGCAAACACTTCATTAATTGCCAGCAAAATTCTGCTACGAATATTGAAAGTCTGAGAGGAGTTAGAGGCTAAATAAGGTCATGAATAACTATTTTTTTATTAGAAAAGCTTTTATATTCACGAGACAAGGCTTGAGTCCCCTTGCCAATCTTCACCCCTCTTCAGCTCACCGTGCAGAGCTGTTCACTTAATTGTTTTAACAGTTTTTCTTTAAAAAGAACTGTTTTAGCACTGGTCTTTTAGCACTTCCTAAGTCCTGTTCTGTAACTTTTAATTTGAGATTGAAATCTGGTACTTGCTCAGTCCAAGTGACAAGGTAAATTTAAACAGAGCAATACATATGACTCACTAGCAAAGGTACACATCTAAATAAAGATGGTGAAAAGCATAGTAAAGGTTAACAAACTGTGTACCAATAATATATGGACCTTCTTATATGCTTATATATTCTACACGTGATACCTAAAGATCTGGGCAGACATGGAGAACAGCAACAGGACTGGGGTAAGCAACAAAAGGGATAAATATAAATCACAGGTATGGGAATGAAATTGTGCCTCCGATGTTCTGTGTGACCTCTAAGTGCCATTGACCCAGGCATTTATAGCACTCATCTTGTGTCCTGCTAGAGTACTGAGTCAGTGGGCTTTGTGCTGATGTCTTGTAACAGAGAAGTGGGATTTATCCTAATAAATGTTCTGGAGTTAAAAAGCCTTCCTCCAAGGTACCTGTCACTTATCAGGTGTGCTTATCAGGGAATGTAGGCAGAAAGAGAGATGCCTGGTGGGTCGATAAATGATGGGTGAATTTGCTTCTTAACCTAAAAATTGTTGCTAGATGGAGAAGAGAGAAAGTGGAAATGTCTGAAGGCAAGAAGTGTACTTTCATCAATATGCTAGTACCTCAAAATAAAACAGGAGGAGGGGAAAAAAAATAAAAAGTAGTCTGGAAGTCCTTGGGGATGAGATCATCTGTCACCACAGGCCAACAGAGCTGTAATGAAATAAATAAATGATCTGGATTGTCTGCAAGAGTGACTACAAGTCAGTGACATTGATCCACGTTCCCATCTGGATGAAAACTTGTTTGTGGGCAGACCCTTCACTCTGTGAAAAGTGCCTCCTATGGCTCCTTCTGCCCATCACTGCTCTCCCCATTCCCTAAGTCAGAGATAATGAAGTTACAGGGCTCGCTGAGAATGCAAGAAGGGTTGTTTTTTTTTTTCTCCCAACCCTTCAGCTTCCTCTGAAACAAACCCAACAACAACTCAGCTGGTCTTCCTCTATTATTTTTGTTGGAGAGATTCCCCCAGCCCCTCCCTCCCTATGGATCTGCTGCTAATAAGAGTCATGTAAGTTTGTTGTACACCTGCCAAATTTTTGGATGGGACCAGGAGCCAGCTCGTGTGGTTGTTGTTTTCCCTGGACAAGAGAGCCTGCAAGGACAGGCAGGAGTGCAGCAATACCTGAATGATGGGGCTGGAAAATATGGCAGTAACTGCCTTGCACTCCACCACCGTGGTAGGAGAGGGAATGGGAATAAAAAGGAAGGAGAAGGATGGAAGAGTACAGGAATATTAGCATCAAGTGAGGAATGCCCTTGGAGGGTATTAAAAACCAAATCAGCCTCTGTGATGTGCTCTGGGCAGAGAAGCAGAGGCTGAACCTAGTACAGTATTTACTGTGCACTGCTTTTATTGCAAAGCACAGACATTTGGGCTGTGGTAGTGCCCAGGGCTGTACAGATCTAGGAGAACAGCAGCATGTGAAAGGAAGAAAAGCCCAGAAAGGGCTAAACCAACACACCACCAAACTCACACCCCTCAGGAGCATTGCCTGCAGGCAGGCCGCCATTTCAGCACAGACTGCAAGAAGGGCTCTGACCTTGTCCAGGCTGTAGCAGGTCGCTGGGTCCCAGCAGGCTGCACCACTCTGCATCTGGCCGGCTGTCCTGACCGCTGAACCACACCACTCCGTGTGGGCTGACCGCAGGAAAGCTGCTCCGATGACCCCCAACACCACAGCCGCCCTCAGAGAGCAGCCATGTCTGCCCTGACTCACTGCCCACAGCCGGGCTGCCCTGGCTGATTAATTGCCCAAATCTGGGCTGAATGACCCTACCACAGCCACTTTACTAGTCAGACTAACTAACTAACTGACTAATTAACTAACGTTCTAGCCCGACAAGCAGAGCGCTGCCGTTCCCCCTCAGCGATGCCAGGCAGCTGCCCCCCCCAGCAGCTCGAGTCCCCTCAGGTGAGGGGCTGTGTCCCATTGGCTCCCCGTGCCGCAGGCCCGCCTCCTGCAGGTAGCTCAGCCAATCAGCGCTGAGCAGGCACCTGGGTGTGGTGGAAAGTGCCAGAAGCGGGAGGTGCCTCAGCTCCCTCAGGACTCCATGATTGTTCCCTCAGGGTCTCTGTGGTTGTTCCCTCAAGGATTCAGTGCCCATGGTGGCCCGGAGAAAGGCTGAGGGGGTAAAAGAAACTCCATTTTCCCCTCAGCTAAAAGAAGGCAGGGCTTTGCCTTAGTTTCCCTCCAGCTTGAAGGCAGAAAGGGGTTGTGAGCGCCTGAGGCAGCCATTTTGCTATGAGGGAGGGGAGGGCGGCAGTGCAGACAGTACCCTCAGCGTACCTGACCTGGAAGGTGACAACAAAGGGACCACAGCATATTGATTATACCCACATCATAGCATCATACCTGTGCTGTCTCACAGAGAGGTAAGTTTGGCTTCTGTGCATAAACTGGCCTCTGGGCTGCCCTGCACATCACAGTGGGGTGGGGGGGGGGAGGGCAGCCATGAGCTGAGGGGTGGAAGCTTGAGGGAGGCACATCAGGTAGAAAAATGGTGGGAAGATTTTTTTGGGTTTAAGAAATTGATCTCTGAGATTTGGGAAATGGTTCACAAAGGGTGAAGAAAATGGGAGAGGAGAGGCTGAGGGTTGGAGGGAGCAAGGATGGGCAGTTATAATCGGGGTAGATTACACAGGTCCTTGTGCGGAAAGAGCGGGATTTTGATGTCTCCCTGAAGAAAGAGAGATGCTCGCACGAGGACTTGAGGAGAAGATGGATTTTAGCAGAATAACATTGAATAACCGAGAAGCTGGGGAGGAAGAAACTGAACAGCAAGGAAAAAAAAACTTAGTAGGTCATCTCCTGCACACGTCAGTCAGCACAAGGATGTTCTTGCCAGTAGGAATTTTTCTTCCCAATGTCGATAGTTCAATTTAAGTCCCAGCACTTTCTCTATCATCCAAATGCTACAAGAGAGGGAAATCCAGGCAGTCCGACTTCACTAACCACTAAGTCCTAAAATCTTTTTTTTTTTTTTTCCCCCCCCTCCTGTCCCTATTTCTTTTGATTCAGACAAAACTCCCTCTGAAGTTGAGTGGACCAAATACGAGGGCATTTACTGAAAGCTCAATTCAGATGTCACTGGGGGTAAATCTCCATAATGCCAGCTGGCGCTTGCTTGAGTGAGCAGTCATTACTCTCTTAAGTCAGCCGCCCAGTAAAACCTGAACCCGGCCTTCGGGATGTGTAGTAGTAAAGGGGCAAGACTGATATTGAGGAAAATGGGGTTCAGAGCATCATAGACTTTTATTTAATTAAAGATGAACTGTTTAGCATCTGTGTTTGCAAGCTTAGATCGCAGCACAATCCCCAGGGGAAGACAGCT